TTTAACCAGAAACATATGCTCGATATTTTGTTTGGGATTTGAACAACCCCCCCATTAAAAAGCAAATGGTCCACCCCTAAGTATCAAAAGAAACGTGCATTCGAATGACGCAAAGACGATTTGCTACAAAAAAATTACATGAAAATTATACATTACAAAACTGAAATGACTGAAGTAGATGGACATGCAGAATGAGGCGTAAAATTGGTTTGAATGGTTTTGGCGCGCAAATCCTGCATAAATTACTATCGTTCGGTCAGATACACGACACTCGTGACACTTTAGCATAGGCGTACGGGCCGGGGGGGCGAGCCCCCCCCAAATTTTTGGGCAACTCAGATTTTTTGGGCAGCAAGAGAAAATTTGGGCAAAGCTATTTTTTAAAGACGTTTCCGTGTTTTTTATTAGTTTAAAGAGACAAATATTTTCTATTTTAATCTGAAAAAAAAATCCTGAAGTCAGCGTAATAATCCAGTTATATTACATTCTCTCGAGACACTCACAGTGGTTGCTGAGCACGTGATGAGTTTCTGGTTATAGCGAAGGGTATCATTTGTTGATTTACATATTTAAAGTTTTTTATCGTTGAGCACTGTCCTGCACTGCACTGACTGGAATGGGCTCTTTCCAGTCGTGAATTGATTAGAATAAGCTTCCGCATATCTTTCTAGAATCATCTCCGCCCGTAGAACAGTGTATGGCAGAGAGCATCAGCAACAGTGGGTGTGAAAATGAAGAAGTGGCTGACGAGTGTTTGGCTCGAATTACGAGAAGAATATTTTTTTGTTTAATAATCTATCAAGCAATAATTTATTAAAGTAAACCGAAATGTTTACAAAACCGCTAACAAGAGCGCCTCGATACATACTGATGAAATGGAATCCTTCTCTCTAGCGATCGGCCGGAGCTATCTCCATGATATTTTACACACGTTTTTAAAACGATTGAAGCTACTATGAGGTGAAATTACATGTCAAAAGAGATTCGTTTTCTACAGATAACGGCCAAACATCAAGATTTTTTTTAGCATATTTCTAAAACTTCATCCCAAAATATCCCGATAACTCTTTTATAGATTCAATTTAACTTCACGAACATCGAGGCGACTATTGGAGAAAAAAGTTGCTGTGAAGATTTTGTAGGAACAGTTCCCAGTGCCAAGAAATATTGCTGCAAGTAAAACAGATAATGGCATCATTTCGTTGCTAGGACAACTCCGATGTCATTAAAACCCTATGATAAATTTTCATCTATATCTAATAAAACTATGGTAGCAATTTTTCCAAATGTTTGTCTATGGCGACGTAGTTATGCTCAAAATTGGGAGGTATTGACCCTGAAAAACTGTTACAGTATCGAGCCACCTTCATATGCCAGTACGGCCTACGTTGTTGCATCGTATGGCCCTCGTTTCCTTTCTACTGTTTCGTAAAAATTTGGGCAACTTGCGAGAATTTTTTGGGCAAATAGTTTACCGCCCCCCCTGGCCAAAAATTGCCCGTACGCCTATGTCTCTCAGTATAAGCTCTACCATCAATAAGGTTATTCATATGCATCTGGTAACCAAAAAACGCTCAAGCGTACACAAAATTTACCTAGAAAAGCGAGTTGCGTTTCTCTTGTACTCACTCATCACTTTCTCATATAAATCTTCTTGGAGAGCCTATACTCGAAAAACAGTAATTATTTCACCGTCACCAAAACAAAGGCAGGTTGCCAGAGGCCACCATGCAGGACCAGGTGCTGATCATGTGAGATTTTATTGCTTATTGTGCAGAATGCCAGTGACGGCTTTTAGTCAGATCTTTGAGTTTCTGCACCCTTTCCAGTCAACACATATTAAGCAGCAGATTTTGTGTTACTTGAATAACATGGTGCTTTCAAATATGACAGTGGCCATAGCTTTCTAGAGATTCAACAATTATGATGTGTGATTTTATTGCTTATGGTGCAGAATGCGAGTGACGGCTTTTTGTCAGATCTTTCTTTGAGTTTCTGCACCCTTTCCATTGAACACATATTAAGCAGCAGATTTTGTGTTCCTTGAATGACATGGTGCTTTCAATTAATGACAGTGGCTATAGCTTTCTAGAGATTTAACAATTGTGATGCGAGATTTTATTGCTTATCAGGGGCGGATCCAGGATTTTTCTTAGGAGGGGGTGCACCACTAACTGACTGATGACGTAAAAAATTTTAAAAGCGAATACGAAGAAGAGGGCTTTTGACTAGGAAATAACATAATGTGAACTGCTGAGAATACATATCAAACGATAGAGCAGATTTTGTATGTCTGTCAAGCGACTGCACAGTGTTAATTAGAAAGTGGCCGCAGGTCATCCCAGGGGGGGTGCGCACCCCCTGCACCCTCCCCCTGGATCCGCCCCTGCTTATGGTGCAGAATGCGAGTGACGGCTTTTAGTCAGATCTTTGAGTTTCTGCACCCTTTCCAGTGAACACGTATTAAGCAGCAGATTTTGTGTTCCTTGAATAACATGGTGCTTTCAATGACAGTGGCCATAGCTTTCTAGAAATTTAACAATTATGATGTGAGATTTTATTGTTTATGGTGCAGAATGCGAGTGATGGCTTTTTGTCAGATCTTTGAGTTTCTGCACCCTTTCCAGTAAACACATATCAAGCAGCAGATTTTGTGTTCCTTGAATGACATGGTGCTTTCAATGACTGTGATGTGAGATTTTATTGCTTATGGTGCAGAATGCGAGTGACGGCTTCTAGTCAGATCTTTGAGTTTCTGCACCCTTTCCAGTGAACACGTATTAAGCAGCAGATTTTGTGTTACTTGAATAACATGGTGCTTTCAATGACAGTGGCCATAGCTTTCCAGAAATTTAACAATTATGATGTGAGATTTTATTGGTTATGGTGCAGAATGCGAGTGACTGCTTTTTGTCAGATCTTTGAGTTTCTGCACCCTTTCCAGTGAACACATATTAAGCAGCAGATTTTGTGTTCCTTGAATGACATGGTGCTTTCAATGACTGTGATGTGAGATTTTATTGCTTATGGTGCAGAATGCGAGTGACGGCTTCTAGTCAGATCTTTGAGTTTCTGCACCCTTTCCAGTGAACACGTATTAAGCAGCAGATTTTGTGTTACTTGAATAACATGGTGCTTTCAATGACAGTGGCCATAGCTTTCCAGAAATTTAACAATTATGATGTGAGATTTTATTGGTTATGGTGCAGAATGCGAGTGACGGCTTTTTGTCAGATCTTTGAGTTTCTGCACCCTTTCCAGTGAACACATATTAAGCAGCAGATTTTGTGTTCCTTGAATGACATGGTGCTTTCAATGACTTTGATGTGAGATTTTATTGCTTATGGTGCAGAATGCGAGTGACGGCTTTTAGTCAGATCTTTGAGTTTCTGCACCCTTTCCAGTGAACACGTATTAAGCAGCAGATTTTGTGTTACTTGAATAACATGGTGCTTTCAATGACAGTGGCCATAGCTTTCTAGAGATTCAACAATTATGATATGAGATTTTATTGCTTATGGTGCAGAATGCGAGTGACGGCTTTTTGTCAGATCTTTGAGTTTCTGCACCTTTTCCAGTCAACACATATTAAGCAGCAAATTTTGTATCACTTGAATGACTACTTGCACACAAATGGTGCTTTCAATGACAGTAGCCATAGCTTTCTAGAGTGTTGACAATTATGATGTGAGGTTTTATTTTTTCTTTGACACAGGGTTATGCAGCAGGCGATGGAGTGTCCACCGATATCAGGCGAAAAGACTTGCTTCAGTTTTCTTTCAGGAATTCACAGTTACTGCTTTGGTACTGAGATGAACTTTCAGCGACATTGTGTGACAAAAAGAGAATAAAAAAAGCAATTCATGATAACACCAGTTAAACTTTTTATTAGTAGTATTATTCATTAGTTTCAAACGATGCTAATAATTATATGTATGTAAAAGTAGAAATCATCTTGCCACCTTTTACCCAGCTATACTGTAAAGCGTCAAATGAAAGGCCTGGGTGTGTTCTGGATTTTTCTTATGAGCTTTGCAACAATTGTTATTACAGTTGAACATTCCTGTTGATGGGAGCCGTCACAACTTGTTTTTGTCCCTCTACATCCACTTCAGCTGAGGCAAATCTTGAAAATATCCTTTGGACTGGCATAAACGCCGAGGGTCCTCCTGGATAGAATTTGTTTTTTAGACGCTGATTGGGTTGCCATGTAGAGTAGTCAGGATTCCTCATGCGAGCGAGCGAGTGCACGTGGTTTGTCTTGACCCCAAAGGTCAACTTAATGTCACTTGAAATTATTAATTTTCAAGAATCACAAAGATGTTTTGTTAAGCTTTAATTAAGTATCCGAAAAGACTCTGAAATACAAGCGTTCTTTCTGCGTTACTTTTACGAATGTTTAAGTTCAAATTAAAGATGAGGAAAGTTTTAAGATCATTTAAATTTGCTTTAATTTGAAATTAAAGGTGCTACATTTTAATAGCTAATTTTGGAATAAATTAAAGACAATTAAAACGAGACCTAAAGCCGTATTAGTCTTTAATGTAACCAAAAGGTCAATTAAAGGTAAACTAAAGGGACAGAAAACCTTTCGGAAATTTAATGTCACAATTAAAGGTAATTAAAGATGGAACAGAACTTTTGGTGAGCTTTAATTTTTCACTAAAGACACCAAAATGAAAGCGTTCTTCCTGTGTCAGAGAAGAGAAAGCCGTAGACAACTGAACAGCTGTAGTACGTAAGCTGTACGTATACTCTTCAATCCTCTCTACGAAACAGTATTTCCCTCACGAACCGTAGAACTTTCCAAGCTCACTAATCGCCAGAAACTAATCCAAAAATTTAAATTCAGCCTCCAAAAGGCTAATGGGGTCCTATTTAGGGTAATTTACCTGATTTACTCCCGACCCTTTGGATTTCTTGGATTATACCGACAAGACGGACATTTACATTGCGTTGAAAGCCCCTCTTAAATTATACAGGAATTTCAGGCCTTTGTCTACCTTCGCCTGTTTAATAACAGCAGCCGTAAATTCATATAGCCATTGTCCAGCTTGCAAAACAGGTTTGACCACTCTCCAAATCACTTCCAGAACGGCTTCGATGATTGTTATGGGGTTGTCAGTTTTGGGTTTCAAATAACAGTAAATGCTTTCCGTTATTTTGTCTTTCAGTTTCTTTAATGGCCGTGTGATCCACTGAAGTCCCTCTGCTACCTTATCAACCAAAAATTGATAAGCGATTACTGTCATGTTTTGAAGGCTGTTAAATGGCAATCTTATCCAGTTGAGCATCTGAGAAGGCCTTTAAGGATAAATTTACAAGGATTGCTGACAGTACAACTTCTCTCCCGCACCTAAGCTAGCTGGTTTAATTTAAAGTTGGAATCTGTCACTTTTGCATGCATTGCGTACCTCAGTAACTCTTTGGTTTCGATTACACCTTTCTCTCCAGCGACTGGAAATACGTCTGTGTTCGCAGTTTAGGGACGGACCATTAGAAAACTTATGGGAGGGGGGGGAGGGCGAAGTACAAAAAAAATATTCGCGCAAGGGAAAATTAAATGAAAAGAAATTCATGCACGCCAATTAATCCTAAACGATATTCATGCTATGGCCTAAAAAAAATTCATACAAGGAATTTGATAACGAAAAAAAATTCCTGCGGCTAGAAAATTCCCATCTCGCCCCCATAACTTTTCTAATGGTCTGTCCCTTAGTCGCTTAAAATAGGTGGACGCATATAGCTGCTTATGATAAGACTGGTCGCATTAAGTAACTGGTCGCTTGTGGGGGGAGGTGATCACTTATGATAAATGGTCGCTTATGGGGCACTCGGAAGCTCGACTATAGACGCTTATTAAACATCTTCTTTGGAATGGATTCTGACCGAAATAACTATACAGTTTAAACTTGCCTCGCTTTTGAATAACTTTTTACTGCGTCCTTTCAGTCCATTCCATTTTTCTGTTTCACACTTGTCATCCACGTTCAGCGTGAGATGCAGCTTGAGAGATGATAGATGGAGTCCGATAGAATATCGTTGCTTACCCTCCTCGTTAGAGGTGGCTGGATCATCGGCTGATGTTAAGAAGTCATAACTTATCTGAAAACAATAAAATTTGCAGATTATGACAACAATATAGGGGATTGTAGAATACACATAGTTTCAACTCGAGCAACAGTCAAACTCCGCTTCACGGACCGACCTCATTATTAAGAATACCTGTAGTTTGCTTTGTCCCCGGGGAAAGAAAGTCCTTACATTTTCTCATTTTCAACCCGCTTAATAAGGACATCCTGTCAATAGGGACACTTTCTATGACCCCCTCAGTGTCTGTATCAAGGGGGTTGGACTGTAGCTAGAACAGACACAGCTGCTTGGTAAAAAAAATGCTGCTGAACACACCAAATACAAAGAATATTCATTGCTTTAACTTTTCATATAAGTGACGCGAGATTTAATTAAACTGCATCTTCGACTTCAGATAGTTCGCACAATATAATTCTGATTCAGTGGCTGTTATAGAACAGCCATAATCAGGTCATAATTGGTTAAGGGAGAGCCGGACAAGTTGTTGATTTTCCTGGTGAACCGGATGTTAGACGACGCTTGTTGCCACAACGGAAACTACGATTATTGTATCTACACCGGCATGCAAAGTGGACCTTGAAATTTCACTTGCGATTTGTAGTTACTACCGTAGTTTGGTTGAGCTACTTTCTGGAGAAGAGAAAGACGATGTGAAAATCGTCTTAGGAAACAACTGCACGTCTCCGCCGCACTGGAATAAAACCAGGACCGATTCCATCAGATATAATATAATGCGCTTACCGACCGCTCACCTCATAGCAGCCCTACAGTTAACATATAGATTTAACCAGGGCTAAAAGCGAAGCTCTCGATAAAATGTATAGTTTGTTCAAACAAAATATGAAATCGTGTAATGCTAAGCGGCGAAGGCAACGCCGGAGAACGGTGAAAAACAGCAATAGGTCTAATTAGCAAAAAAGCAACTTTGCACGTGCAGCACACTTTTTTTGTACATTTCTTTGCCGTAGTTTTGCACGACTACGATTCTCTGTCTTTCTGTTGCTCTATATTCCAAATTTGTGGACATTTTCATTAATTTAAGCTTAATACTTAAGAAAACACGGATACAGAAGCAATTTCCGCTTTCCGGTTTCGTCTTTATTGACTCTTTAGCTGCCTCTGCTTTACAAGAGGCGGGTGGTTATGCGATTTCCCGCCAAAATAACCTCGAGTTGCATTTGGGTTGCCATACCTGTTGATTGAGTTATTTTACATTGGTATGCCTGTGGTGCGGACGGACGGTCGGGCGTACGGTCACGTGATTACCAAATTTTCTCGGATGGGTAGATTACCACATTTTCTTACCCATGGTGCTCCGCTGCGCGCGCTTCGCGCGCGAGAGCTCCGCTAAAAAAACCCTGAAACTTACAGTTTTTAGATATCAAAATCCCCAATACTCACAACATGGTCATTTTCCTTTCCTGTAACCGTAAGAATATCCTCATCCTGATTCCGTACCTGAACATTAATAGCCAGGCATTGTGCTGTGGATTTCACATCCACCCCTGAAAAATAAGTGGGTACGTTAATTTC